TCAGCAGTTTGAGGGATTCAGGATCAGGAAGACGGGGTTTTCCATTTTTCTTATGGTGGTGTTGTAGTACATTGTCAGGCTTCAAGGTGATGGTCTGCTTGATGGTGAGCGTCAATTAAAATGGTCTCCCTGATCTCACCTCAATGTGTTGGGATGCTTGCCGCCACGGTCCTGGTGAGATATCCAGGGGGTCCTTGAAAGAAAGGCAATGGTAAGCATGATACAATTGAACGATATGGCCATACCTGAGAGCTTTCGTTCTGCTGGATTAACAATATAAAATGAGAGTTACTCCCGGCTTGAGCAGAAAACTTACCGAGGTTTTATCAAGGCTCGTCTGGGCAACTAAATCATCTTCATTGCATGAGTACTGGAACTGAATTTCAGGTGTGAGAGGGCGAGTAACTGGAGATTGCAAAGGTGGTACATCCTCCACAAACCCTATAACATTGAATTAGTGAAGCGAAATCACACCACGAGAATGTGTACCTGGGTGTTCTTTCTGGCGTTGGCCAGCCTCCCCCCAACCAAACTGCTGTGAGCTCTTGACTGTATCATCATTTCCCCCCTCCTCCTCATCATCCTCTCCGCTGTCCTCTTCATCAGCATCTTTATCATTGCTATCATTGCTGTCATCACTGCTACAGTCTTTAGAGTCACTGTCATCAGATTCAAACGACATCAGACGACACTGAGCCCTAACAGTGTCATCATGCTGACGTAGGGCTGGATCTAAATTCTCCTCCTGAAAGATGGACCTTGGAAAAACCACTGGATATTTAGAGACAGCATTCTGGGTATGCTGCTCAGCAATTGCATCCCGAGTTCGCTTCTCAGTGATAGCGTCCCGAGCTTGTTGCTTGGCAATGGCATCCCGAGCACACTGCTCAGTGTCCTTCGCCCCAATGGTGACATGCGGGTTGTGCAATGCCTGAATATTGGGCTGGGAAGTACCAGAATGAGCTATTTCTGTTGGAGCAACAAATCCAAACCTTCCACCAGGTTGCTGGGATGTAAAGCTGGGCCCTGTGGTGATAATGTCCTTGGCTGGGGCATCTGGAGCATCCCTAACAAGTGAGCTGTAGGGTGGAGGAACTGCCTATGAAACAATCAATATGAGTAACAGAATTAATTGGACGCCTACCTTTGAATGATTCTTTCGACCTCTATGACACGGTTCTGGGGCTTGAGGATTGACTGGAACATTGAGACCAAGGGACGTTGTACCCTTACGTTCTTGAGTCCGAGGCTTAGATTGCAATACTGATCCAATCTTCTCCAGTTGTGCATTCCTACCTCCAGTTCCCGCGTTAGGGTGACCAGAACACCGAGGAGCATTTTGTTCCACTTCTGCTCCAGTTAGGCCAAGGGACACGAGGGGTACCGTGCTGGGTACCTCAGCAATATCTGCAGCCTGAGACTTCTTTGACAAGCTGGCCTTTGAAGCATCGGATCCTTTGCGCTTGCCAGATCATTTCTTCTTAGGACTGGCGATGGCACAAGGAGGCATGACTGTAATGAAGAACAGAGGAAGAAGTGACTCTGATAAATTATCCCAGACTTATGATGATTTTATACCATGGCTCATCCGGGTACTAATACTTGATAGCCATATGGGTAGTGAGAGAAAAGTTTATCATTAAGAAGAATAATAGTAATAAAGAAATATACCACCATGAGGATTGTTACTATCACGTCGTACTCTGAATCAATTCACATGACTAGCATGAAAAAACCTTCGTCATTGGTAATAGTACTCATAAGAGAAATTGCTGATCACATAAGCAAAAATGCTACACATAACATGAGTCATACCAGAACCTACTAGTAGTGATACTATATCAGATCCTGGCGCACTACTAGAGTCTTGATTGTAAAAAGATAAACACTTGAAAAAGCTTGAAAAAGAACGATATAGTCAGAACAACAATATCATAGGTACCAGTCAGTGAACTATAGTAAAAACGCAACATACCAATAGTACAAGCCAGTGAGATTCTAGAAATACTACTGCTAAAGTTAAACATGCCATTCATACTAAGTCAGTGAAGAAGAAAGATAGCTGAATATGTGTAATGAGTAGGCTTCACCTCCTGGTCATGCGTCACTGCCCGATGCTGAGTCAGACTCAGTATCACTATGACAAGACTTGTGCCGCTTGGGTGCTACTACAGAGGGAGGGTCTGAAGCAATCTGTTTGCCCTTAACACATTTCATGAGAATGACAGCATCATTCTTGAGCATGTCCACAGCAGATACGAGCTCCTCGTCATCGGGGAGTTTGTTGAGATGAGAGTTGAGTACAGCAAGAATGGTGTCGAAGGTAACGGGGTGGATCATGTTGTCCACCAGAACTCTATGCCACTCTACTGCGAGGGGGATCAGCTGCTTGAAGTATGGGTGGAATTGGTCTGTGAGACACTTTTCCTCTCCTGGATAAGCAAAAAAGGTGATCTTGAAGGCTGCGCATGATGCTAGATCAAGGCTGGTCCAACAATCCACCAATGAATTGGGCAAGCGCTCCTGCACCATACCGTTGGGACCACAAAACTTGATGCAAACCCAAGTGAACACGAAAAAAGGGACTCCAGGTCATCTGCATAGCCTTGGATGACATATGATACAGGTAGCGCCAGAGAATCAGAGGATGATTTCGGGGTTTTTGGTTTGTCAACTGAATTGCGTCCCTGAGTCTCTTTCTTCTTCACCATCTTCTTCCTCTTCGATTCCAGGTCTGCCTCCTGCTGCAGGACCGCATATTGATTGAGAAGTCCGCATGACATGAAAGGGACTGTGCCCTGGCAAATCAATTAATGCACTGAATATTGAATGAATAAGGTGTACTTACTGTACCGCCGATGGGATATTTATGATCCAAGGCGATCCGAATGGCAAACTCCCAGTCAATAAGAAACCCTTCACTACCTTCAGGTTCATCTAGGATCATCGCGTTGTTGAGACTACAGTCCCGATGCAAAATCTGATGTTCCTCCACCGCAGCTTGTTGAACTAACATCAAAGAGTATCAGTCCAAGACACCTGTACCCCAAAGTACTAAAAACTTACTCTTAACGATATCCCTTAGTGCCCGCACAAACTCCTTCAGTGTTCAGAACATGTGAAAGGGGCGACCACATGGCTTCAAGACAAGACGTACATGAGTACGACTAGTGCCCCTGGTACTCCGGTGTTCTTTTTGCCAATATTTTCGGGTAACATCGGGATCACCATCTGACTGTTCAATGACCCAATGATCCACCAGCTTTGGAACACCAGGGAGGCCATCCATCAATTTCAGCATCTTGATCTTGTTCAAGACTACATTGTCGTCCTTGCCTACAACCCAATGGTCTTTTATTATGTAGTCTTCATTGTCTAAGGTTGCCAAATAGCAAATGGTTCCGCGACCAACAAGACCTCGGCTCACAAAAATTATTCTTCTTATAGTGTACACCTTCTGCCCTACACAGATTTTACCACAAGGTTCAGGTGATTGAGCAGAGTAAGGGAATTGGGGAGGGAGAGGGGTGACAGAATAGATGCTCTCAGTCATCTCAGCCTGGGGCATTTGGGATGTGAGGCTAAGAAGGGGAGCACTACAGGTTGCAGTGTGGTGCACTGGGAGGGAGGGGGGTGGGAAATGCTCTTCGTCCATTGAGTAATGTGTAGCAGAACTGCTCGGACCTTCTTCCGTCGAGTCAGAGTCACTAGAGTCACCAGCGACTACTGATTCAAGGGCATCACTGGACAATACTCCATCAGGATCCTTGGGAAATGGAAGGGAGGAAGTGGATACGACAACAGTACAGTCTGTCGTACTTGGTCGGGCAGAAGCATTTCTAATGGGACGATAGCAGTTGATATCTTTGGATCAGGGTGGTGAAACAATCTTTGAGAATGAAACTGTCGGATCATAGCCGACGCACTCTAGACTCCCAAAATTGATGGCAGCGATTATATGTGAAAATATGTCTGGTTGTTTGTAAATATCGAAGCGAGGAGACACGGCACCACCAGAGTGATCATACATACATTAGGACTCTAAGGTGGCGATATTCATCTGTGAATGATAATATGAGAGCAAAGCACCTCCATGGCTGTTCACTCATCATAATATAAGCATGAGTATCTGCAGCCTTCCCGAGTCACATCACAGGCTGGTATCGACTGTGAGTGAGTTTGGCTGATACCCTGATGTTCCCCCACTTTGCCAATATATCGTCAGATAGAACAAGATCTGGCTTGCATTTGATGTTGCTGCCAGGTAATGCCTTCTGTGCACTGGCTGCGCTCCATGTGCTGGTTGCAAAGCACATTTCTACTAGTTTGGGCTGCGACGCTGCTAAGCAGCCAGCCAGAGCATTGAGAAATGCAGCAAAGATTTCTTTGTGAGTTGCTTTCTGCATATCATTGCCCTCTGACTCACCCTCCAAGTCTGCGCCCGAATGACTACTACTGGCATTTTTAGGAGGGTCAACTGGAAGGGCCCAGTTCCAAGCCTTCACTTCAGTATCGTACAGTGGCACAAGAGTATTGGGCGATGTCCTGCTTTCTCATTGATGCGTTGGTTGCGATAAAGGATTTTTCTGAATGGGATTTTAAAGCTGAATACATTGGGAAGAGGAACCATGAAAGATTGAAATATTTTGTAGAGCAGGTGTCCCAGCGGTTGTGAGGCCTTTGGTGAACCCTCATGAGTGACCAGACAATTGAGCTCGTCAGAGGTGATCTTGTTCATAGTATGAACATCGGTGACATTGGGGATAGACAACAATGATGACAATTTGATTCCGTTGTCAATGGTCCTGAAAAAGAATGCCATTTTTTCGTACACAGACAATAATGGCACAAAGGATGAGAGCTTATTGCCACATAATAGTGCCCATCAAAACTCAGTACTCAGTCCGGTGATCTAAGAATAAAACAGACTAGAATAACTGGCATAGGCTAGATAAGACCACTTGACCATCATGAACGTTGCATGGAAGCTCCACCAAAAGCTACATGGAAAGGGGAAAATATACATTCTTATCACAATACCTGTTGAGCCAGAACTGAGAAGCATGTTCCATGCTATTATATGGGGTGAGACGGTTGTCTGCACTTGCACCGAAGCGAGGGACAAGGTTGACAGGTGCTCTGAGCTGTGTCACAGGTATGACATCACCCACCCAAGTGCCATTTGAATGCTTCGCTCATTTGAGCAAGTGGAGCTGCATACTTGGCTCACGATCATCAGCACTGGAGCTTTGAGAAACAATGTCAAAGCGATGCATGTAAACCAGAAAGTGGTCCTTCCATGACCAATTCGTGCCACTTTTCCAATAGCATGCATGATAAGCCTGATTTGGCCAATTGTATGACCTGTGACTTGACAATAAGTAGAGATTCAGCGTGACATAAGATCATAACGTACCACAAAGACTATCTTCTGGCCATAAGTACCTTGCCTCGTTGTTAATGATGACTGTGTCATACCAGCCACATGTCCAGGGATCAGAAGGAGGTGCACAATTGAGGGTCTGCGCAGGCCGTATGATGCTAGCATCGTGGAAATCGGTGTCCTGCACCCGAAGTTTAAACCCGACTTGAAGTTTGTCAAAGGGAAGTGAAGCAGTAGGTCCAGCTCTTCTAGCCTCCCCAATAGTATGTATGTGATCCCTCCCATGAGTAGCCTCACAATGAAGAAAGTCGGCAATAGCTGGTCGTAAGTCAGGAAGACCAAACTTGATGGCAGCATTGTCAACAGATATATTTCTGATAGAAGGATCATAGGTGAGGTGAAATGCTGTGCATTCGACAACAAATGAGCGCAGTGGCACAGGGACTGTCCCCACTTCCCTGTGCTGGAGGACCTTGGCAATTCCGAAGTAATTGGTGATTGGACATGAATGTCCAGGGTATTTCATTGTCATAAGAAGATCTGCTGGGATATCACGATCCTCATCCACGTCAAATCGACATTCTCATCCTTCTCATCATCATCTGGATCCTGCTGCCCTGAGTCTGGGACATTGTCAAGCAGACTCATAGCAAGGTCAAAGCGGCGGCATTTATCGGCATGGTCAAGATGGCGACATATCTGGGGATCATAATTATTATTATTGCTCGAGCGAGCAGGATTTTTGATTTCCATTATGTGGGCATGCTCCGTGGTGTCGGCTGTCCATTGCAGAGGAACTCCAGTGTTCCTTATGCTTGGAACTATGGACTGCATGAGCTCAAGCTTTGGTATGTACCAGTTCTCGATAACTCCACCACGCTGACCACAATGAAATCCACCCTCTATAATAGCATCTTTGTTAGCATGAAAATGATCAAGTGCAGTGGAAATTCGGGCGAGTAGGATGTCGTCAATTATGGGTGACTGTACGAGATATCGAAAGTCCATCAGAACTCGTACAGCAGTCATCACTGCGCTAGGAATTGCATCCGCACTGACTGCAACAATCGAGCATTGAATGTCACATTGAGTACATCCTGTAACCTGTTTGAGCTTTGAAATCCCGCCATGAAAATGACAGAACCCAGTGACAGCCTGCAACACAGAGAACCGAAAGTCAATCTCTGTATCACCTACTGTGCAAATAAGCCACTTTGCATTGTGGTCGTAGAACTCGTGATGAATGAGGTGAAGAAATTCGGGAGTGAGAAAATGTGATGGATCACTGAAGACCCAATCCATCCAGAATGGTGTGTTCATGCCATTCAAACAAAACTTCTGTGCTTCGCAAAAAAATGTCTCGATGTCATTGGGATCAGCTTTACTCCGCGCAATGTCCAGCTGGGAGAGTGTAGTTGCTCGTGTGTGAGGCTCATGACGGAAAGGGTCTCCAAACTGTTTGTACATGGCTGTAGTGACTGGGGAGGTTTTCCCGCCAACAGCAGCCAGCATCATGGCCTCCAGGGTATCGACAATGTAGCTCGTGAGTGGTGTAAAACAGTAGCGACTGTGTCCAACAGGGTCTGATAGCATGACTCCTTCGCGAGCAGCCAGCTTGAGTGGACAGAGAACAATATCTAAGCATTCGTGAATGAGGTGATCCTCAAGTACGCCTTGCATGCATTTTTCTTGTAGATGAATTTTGGGACGGGAAGTAGAGCGGTAAGCACAAAGGCATTCGAAGATGACTTGAGTCACGTGGACATGCCTATGTTGGCAAGACTAATCAGAAGGGGGTGTGCAACTCTGTCACCCGTCATGGTTGATATATTCATCTTGTCAGATGATAAGATGGTCCCCAGGAGTGTTGCACCTCTTGGTAGGGCTGACTGTCCAAAAATCGATAAGTACGACGACTCGCACAGATGAAACTATATGTACCTGCATATTCCACGCATCATCACTAGTCATCCACTCTGAATACACGTGGCACAGCTACTGTGCAGTGCTATACACCCTGCAAGGCGTAAAGTCTAGATGGTCGTGAAAGGCAGGGTGGTTGAGAAGGCCTGAAATACAATCTAAGGGATCATGCCAATACAAGACAATGGGTGATTTCATGAGATGTGCTGTAGGTACTACTTGAGACATCCAGCGCGGGCCACTAGGCAACATTTCCACTCTGCCACGCAGTTCCTTGGCCGAATGGAACGACAACGGAAGGGTCTTTATCTAAATAAGACACCTTCAAAAATTGTATGTTATCGAAAATAATTTATTACTCACCATGTCGAGTGAAAGAAAACTGTCTATCTTCTCCATGCTTAATCCAGAGCGAAGTAGCCATGACCCAACTTCCCAGTCTTTCTGGCCACTGAATGGATAATACGGATTCATTGCACGGTGTTTGCTGTTCTCATTTGAATTGAATACATTGAGGAACGTGTAGCCCCTGCTGTATGATTGAGCACAGTCAGGATATGAGTTGATGACTTCTGAGTTATGAGTTGGTGTCCTCTCTTCGTAAGCCTGGCGCTCACTACTACTCCCTCCAAACATCTCATCCCAATCTCCAAAACCACCAGTCTTGATGCCGGGAATAGTATGTGGTCCGTCGTCCATAGTATTAGTACTCACAGGTTCATCATCCATATCAGACTCAGAGCACGAGCATATCAAATCCTGCAGTCATGTACTGCAGCCAGAGCGAGGTTGGCTCATGTGCCGAGTGTTACAGTCAGCTACGTGAGCCCCCAGCTACCAATATGCCTTCTGCCACCTTGCACGGCAAACGACACGATACCCAGGTCTTTAGGCCTTGATGACAGATAGAAGAGAAGCCCAGAAGATGCCGGCTTAGATAAGCAGTCTGGACTGCATATGACGACAGATGACAACATAGGTCTAGATGACCTATTAATGATATCAAGATAGAAGGCAAGCCTCATGGTTGCCTCATGTACTGATAGAAGGACGCCTCGCGGTCTTTATCATAGATAGAAGCCTGCCTCATGCATGGTATCTCTGACTCGATAGATAAGCAGATTAGAACCCAGCTTCAAGCTGAGCTTAGATACAATAGAGTAGCCTTATATAAGGTCGAAGATTAAAGTAGACGTTCCTTACTTTAATCTTACTGGGTTTTACCTTGAACTCCTTGTCTTGCTAAAGCTACTTGCTTGACATCCGATCCGCACCTTCAGAAGGACTTGAGACCCCTTCTGCCTGTAACCGCTATCATCGCTCACCACCGCTAGCGTACTGCAACTCCTGCTTGTCTGTAGGAGACGACCTTGGACTCTCAGCATGAGGTATCACTGTCGTGATCAGTTGCTGTTAGATCATCCCAGTTCGCACACGACTCATCGTCGTAACACCAAGCAATGGCTACATCATCCTTGAAACCACCTTTTCTGCACGAAGGACACTGGAATGTCATATGTAGTACAATCGATGTGTGAGATTCCGAGGAAGCTGTAAGTAATAACTTGTGGAATCAATAAGCCATATTCTCAAAACACCCATGTCTGACGTACCAATCCACCTAAATATTTCTAGTGGTGTACCATCATTGTCAAATATGCGCCCGCAAAACTCCAATAAGTGGCAAGCAAGCCGAACTTTTAGTGAGCCTCCCAGTAGCGGAATCGCTGACTTGTACGACATGGTCAATGCTATTGGGTCAATGGTAAGTGACTGATATCTGACTCTTACTAGGCACTGCTCGTTAACATGCCTACAGACCATCAATGACGTTGATGACTGTGAAGCCAACCTTATCATGGATCTCGCAAGGGCCTGACACAATATAGTTAATGCGGAGAAAAAACTTGCATCATGCGAGAGCACGAGGTCATGACCAGTCTTTCAAGATACAAGTCTGTCATTTCCATGTGGAAGCTTGATAAGGCCAATGTAGGACTAGGCCATATGTGTGTCACATTCAAAAAACACGGTCTTTCACATCAGCCAGCACACAGTTCTCTCGGTAAGTACTCTTATTATGTATACACTACCAACTAACCTTGTCATAGACTCATTTGCATCCTGCTGTCAGCTAATGATCCAGTTGGACTGATGCCTCGTCCCTTCTTTCAAATTGTGTCAAATAGTTTGTATTTAGCAGTACTGGTACTAGGCTAGTAGTATAGTAAATATGGACATAAAATTTTGTTTCATCTCGATGCTTGAGTTGTGTGACTTCTAGTATGAAACATTTGATCCCGTGGAACCAATTCATGTGGGTGAGGAGAAGACAACAGAAAACGTAGTATACAGACTGTTATTGTAATTGATTGTAAAACAGATGCAATGTCCGAAGGCGACCGGTCTGCTTGTTAAATTTTAATTTTACTAAGTACTTTCAGGTACTACTACTACTAGCGCTCGAGGTAGCTATTTTACTGACAAACACTGTGAGGCTGTACATCCTGTGAGCTCTGTCTCTCTGTGGGTTAGTGTTGAAAAAAATTCAATGCCCGGGAGAAAGTGTGCTGTGAGTGCTGTCCCGCTGTGGGTTACTGTAGGTTACTGTCGAAAAAATTTGATGCCCTGGAGAAATGTGCTGTGAGCGCTGTCCCTCTGTGGGTTACTGTGGGAAACTGTCAAAAATGTCGATGTCTGGGGAAATTTGTAGTTCACTGATGTTTGTTCCTGTGCCTCGCAACCTTCCTCAGTTGACTTCGCACGTCCACTGAGGTTAGTACTACCTTTGTATATACAGCACATATCTAACTAACAATCCCTGTAGCTGAGCTGCTACAGGTATATACCAATATATTCTAGTTGACTTTGCACGTCCGCTGAGCTGAGCTGCTACAGCCGCCTACTAGCATAGCTGGTGTGAGAGCTCAACAACTTGTTATCAATGCATCTCATGTCGCTGCAATGCATACATACCTTGCGCTCGCTGCATTTAGGGATCACCAGGATATGAGTAACCCCTAGGGGTCATGGGTAGGGGTACCCAGGGGTAAGGGTGTGGGTAGGGATCTTGTGACCTGTGGACCTGTGGACCTGTGGACCATTGGTGGTACCCTTGTACCAAATAATTGTCCATAACCTATATGGTACCACCTCACAAGTGCAAACTCTAGCCTAAAACTTTTCACGACTATTCCTTCCTGCCATCTCATGATGTTACCTAAAAGGACAACACAGCCCATGGAGAAGGTGCTTGCAATGGCAGCAGAAGGCAGGCAAGCAAAGCAAAAGGCTATTGATAAACCTTCTACCCCCATGGAGATATCAAAATGTACAAAAGTGATAGTACCTATTAACATTGAACAATCTAACAATACTACTACACCATCCATATATCGAGCTACTGTTCAAACTAGTAAGGAAGAAGATGAGGCTGCTCATTCACATGCCATCATCATTGAGTCTGATGGATTTGAAAAGAATGACATTGAAGTTGATGACCCTGGAGAATCTTCTGAAGCAGAACTAGGTAAGTACCCACTCACACATCACTAAGAAGCTTCATTAAAAATATTGCAGACAGGCTGAAGAAGGATTGGACTTCACCTATATATGCATTCTTCAAACCCACTCTAGAAATTGAATATCAGGACAACCGTCACTGCCATGTGTTCAAATGTACAGCACTGGGCTGCAAACAAAAGGTTTGGTGATACCTCAATAAGAAAGATGCAAAATCTACTGGCAACATGTGAAAGCATGTAAAAAGTTGCTGGGGTGAGGCTGCCTTGCAAACTGCAATGGAGTACAGGGACACTGCTGCTGCACAAGATGGAGTTGTCAAGAATCTGCTTGAGACAGGATCTATTAAAACCTCTTTCGAGCGAAAAGGCAAAGGTAAAGTTACCTACTCACACCAACAGCATACTTGCACAGAGACAAGGTTCATTTTCCATCTGCTTGATGATATCACTATTGATAGAACCTAGGGTGGAGATCGTGTGTTGGGTGTCAGAGAGTTTAAGACCATTTGAGACTGTGAATGATCAAGGGTTTCAAAAGTTGATGAAGACAGGGCGCCTGGAATATCACATACCTTCACCCTCAACAATCACTCGTGATATAAAGCAAGTTTTTGTCGAGACTCGCAAACAGATAGCACGGGTGCTACAAGTAAGCAGAATGTAGTATGCAAGATCAGTGAACTAAAGCAACTTACTAGAATTATGATGACGAACTGAATTTCGGAACAGATGCCTGGACATCATCTAATCACAGGACTTATGTGGCCATCTCCGTGCACCTAGAGCATGAGGGTCAGCCATTCTTGATGATACTAGATATAGTTGAGGTAGTGAAGGTACATAAATACACTCACTCAAAGTTTGAACAAGATGGCACATGTGCTGACATATTGCAGTCTCACAGTGGCACGAATCTTGCAGATACATTTCCAGACATTCTAAAAGACTTTGGCATATCAGACAAGGTACTTTAGTTTAGTTACTCCGCAAAACTCTTACCTGACTTGGGCAGATATTGAGCGTCACAGCAGATAATGCGGTGTGGGTACAACAATTCAGATGGTGTATCTGAACAATGTGTTGGGTCTTACAGAACCTAGCTGCTATTTGACCCTAAAGGGTTTCTGGTCCAGGCTCAAGGCTCAGAGAAGAGGAAATATGATAGAAACTTGCTGATCTCTCAGACTCATAGTAAAACTGGTGAAAAGATGACTTGATTATGTAAGCTAAGGTGCAAACATAACTATAGGTAAAACAGTCTCTGCAAGCCCAGCCAGGAATCAGTCCCTACAGCGGCGTCCAATGATACACTTGTCACAGAGCTTGCGGATTGAGTGGCACATTTTGCTGGTGAGACAAACTGAACACGATGCTTTTTGCATATTGTGAACCTTGTGGCGAAATCTTTGATTCATGAGTTTGACACAAAATCAACCAGTAGCACAGATCCAGAACTAGATAAACTTACTGGGAATATAGAGATTGAGGACACTTAATCTGCAGATGAAGATCCAAACAAGGACTGGGAAAGCAAAGACAATGACAAGAGCTGGGTTGATGAATTACAGCTGTTGCAACTTGCAAGAGGATGAGCGCAAGGAACTGATGGACAGTATCCATCCAGTGAAACTTGTCTCAGTGAAGGTGACAGTGTTAAATAAGTGAGGCTCACCTGCACAAACTAACACAGATTGCAGCTATGGAAACTTGCATTCAAAATTATCCATTTGACAACTCTTGTGCTGCCTGCATGGAAACAGATTATCGAGGACTTGGATCTCCATGTGCAAATCATGCCATGAGATGTTTCCACCAGGTGGAATTTGACCTTCAATATGCTTGATTTTGCATTGGAATACCAAGCAGCAATTGAGAAGATAACAGACATGTGGAAATTGGTGCTTGGTGATTATGAGCTGACCAAGGACGGGTGGGCTCTAGTTCAACAATTGCGGGATGTCTTGAAGGTAAGAAGTGACACATGTGACATGACAATGTTAACAACACTATACTTTTCTCGTTCCACACCAAACTTAGCTATGATCATCCCTGTGATTGATCACATTGACCAAGTCTTTACCAATGGTATTGTCAAAAAGCAGATGCTAGAACCTGCCATACATGCCACACTTGGACTTGCAAAATGCACACTTAATTGATACCACTCAATGATGGACCAATCTGAGGTTTATCGTATCGCTATGAGTGGGTCTTTCTTCTTTACTTTTACTATGCCATACTCACTTTTACTTAGTTCTTCACCCTCATCATAAACTCTCTTACTTTAGGTCTGCAGGCTGGGAGCTGCAGTGGATTGAAACAGCTGAAAAACTTGTTCGAGATGAATTTCGGCGCTCATATGCCTCCCACTCAGTCACAGTCGATGTGAGTGCCTTGGGGAGTCAAGATATTGATGAGGTGCATAAATTACATTATCCTATATGTTCTTGCTACTGATACTAGCTCTAAACACTCAGGACAATGATTCTGGCAACATATTTGACCACCTACCTGCTGTAGAAACTACAATACAGTGAGGCGTGAACAAGGCTCCAGACTGTATCTCTAATGTTGTAAGGTCGTGCATTACCTAGTCTGCTATACTTGAGACAACAAGTGTGTTCGACCCTAAAGGGGAAGTGAGTGCAGCAAGGATCTAGTAGTAGGTGCTACTGGTCGGCCAATGCAAAGCATGAGAAAGTGCAGGTACGTGCAGGAATGCATGAAGTGTGGCAAAGTGTGCGTGTGTATGCGGAAATGAGAGAGACTAAGAGTGAGTTTGCTTAAGTGATGATATGATGCAAGACAAGAGGTGAGAGATGCAAGCTGAGAGACATTATATGTGAGGTGCCAAAGAATAGATTTCAACTATGTTCTGTTAGGTAGAAAGTGGGTAGCCAAAGCTCCCAAAAGTTTTTAATAGTATGTACTGCTGGCGCTTATATATGGTGCCTAAGCGCTGTCATGCGGAGCCGAAGCACTACTGAGTAAGGTATGTGAAGATATATGTAAGTAAGGGTCCATGATAAAATAAAGGTGGAACAATATGCAAATAAGGGAAATGGAATTATACACACTAGAGAACTTGGTGGACAGTGGATGGATGTGTCTGGATGGCTGGCACTATAGGGCGCTCAAGCGCGGGAAAGTGCATGTGCATGTACATCGTGAAGTGTGGGAAGTGTGCATGCATGGCATGCATTGCGCAGGAAAGCTGCACCTCATATAGGAATTGTTACACACTCAAATAGATCTGTTAGGCAGAGTCCTAAGAGGGACATCATCCGCTAACATTCGTGACATAACTGGAAGGGTCTGGTGTAGCGACTGAGACTGGCAATGTCGAGTCGGCAGATATCAGAGACACGCGTGTCACGTGACTTCTAAGACGGATGTCCTTGAAGTCGTTGACGTTCTCAAAGTCAGGACTGTCTTGTCCGAATGATGAGTAGTCGATCGAGGTAGACTTAGGTGCGACGAGCACCTAAGAAAAGATACTAGAGACTGAAGCTGAAGGGGCTTCAGAGGGAAGTATGTTCGAGGGAAGATTGAGTAGATTCAAGTTAGGGAATCTAGTACAGAGTGACCGACTACTTATACTAAGTGGAAAGGGTTAAGGGTAAGGCTACCGTACTGTTGGTAAGGGTAAAGGGGAGATGGAAAGGGTATAGGTATGCTGGCAGCAGAGCCTGATTAGTGATGGGAGGCCGAATGCGGAATGAGACCGAGAAACGTTGGAACAAACCAATGGTAAGAGATACAATGCGCAGCACGCACGAGTTAAGGGAAAGATAAGAGCAGATAAGGAAAGCCACATTGGTGGCATGAGCCAGGACAAGTCATAGCCCAAAGGCATGTGTGCACGTTGGTGCAATAGGAGGGAGATGGGGGACGGGAATGGTCCCGAGGATCCAGTCAACAGATAGTCAGTAAAGAAGTATGAGCTGGAGGTGGGCGAGGATGAGGATGAGGAAAAATGATAGGGGGGCCATGTAGCCGATATCACTTGTAACAGGAATAGCTGTGGATAGCACACAGAGTGGCGCTGCAAGTTCATGCCATGTACTCCCTAGTGAAAACTGCCATATCATGTAATGAGAGGCATGAGTCTCTACACCGCTCTCAGCAGAACCCAACCCTCATGATGGATTCTCATTCAATGAACTCAATGCGTATCTCAGGGCCGACATTGAGAAGGTTACAGATGCCATTGTGTGGTGGCATGGGCACTGCAAGACATATCCGCGACTATCATGAATGGCACTAGACTATCTCACCATCCCAGGTAATTTTTTTTCCGAGTCCATGCATATTTTTAATACCATATACTACAGCAATGTCTGTTGACATGGAACACATCTTTAGCCATGGACACTTATTACTTTCTCATGTCCAAAACAGGCTTACTGCGTAGATGACGCATGCACTGCTGTGTGTTGGCCTGTGGAGCCAATTAGGTTTAGTCAAGGACAAGGACATCCAGTCAGTTGTGAGCCTTCCTGACATTGATGGCGAGAATAATGAGCTTGATGATGGGTGGGACTGCATTAGATTAGACTAGATAGTATTACCACTATTGCATCATCCATAGTAAGCTGTGTACATGATTTGCATCGTGCGGGTATACCTCTACCCGCGATACCCTTGACACTGGGTGCGGGATCCATCTTTTCCACTGGAAAAACTGTAAACTTTTTGAAAGAAAAAGTCAAAATTTATCTGTGATTGAGTTTGCCTAAAAATTATAAACAAGATCATAATGTTCTTCAAAATTTCCAATGGAACAAACTGTAAACAAATTAAAATTTTGCAGGTGTCAATTTCTTCATGATATATCAGGTGACAATTTTAAAATAATGTTCTCCTTTGTCACTAAACAAAATACTGTACAAATTAGAAGCAACACAGGGTATGATTTGTTTTGAAAAAGTATATCAGAAAAATTAATTGGAGAAATCAATTTTTTTTTTACCATTTCTTTTGTGGAAAAAAGTGGACAAAATCAGGACCACAGAACCATTTAAATTTTTCCTAACATTGTCTGATGGGAAAATAAAAGTAAAATTGTGACCTTCCATCACAATGAATATAATGTTTTATCAATGGCAATACTGAGGACAAATTGAGAGCCAAATTTCTACATTTGTCTCATATTTAGACATGAGAAAAACAAAAAAGAAATTGAACAGAACAAATCATGAATGTGGTTTCTGATATATCCAGAGTTTGTGTGCAATACAAAATAAGGAAAATTTGAAATAAACATTAGGAACAGAGGGTGTGTGAATGATAAATGGTCCACTGACTGGTCAAATTTGCAATGTCCAATATCAATGTTTAATGTTCAATGTTCAATGTCCAAATCCAATGTCTGAGTCCAGTGTCAAATGATCAAGTGTCAAATGTCCAATATCTGAGTCCAATGTCCAATGTCTAAAGCCAATGTCTGAGGTCAATGTTCAATATCCAAGTCAAATGTCCAATGTCTAAAACTAATGTCTGAGGTCAATGCCCAATGTCCAAGTCCAATGTCCAATGTCCAAATCCAATGTCTGAGGTCAATGTTCAATGTCCAAGTCCAATGCCTGGTGTCCAAATCCAATATCCGAGGTCAATGTTCAATGTTCAATGTCCAATGTCCCAGTTCAATGTTCTGACTCATATTTTGATGCCCAATGCCTGAGTCCAATGCCCAATGTCCAAATCTAATGTCTGAGTCCAGTGTCAAATGATCAAGTGTCAAATGTCCAATATCTGAGTCCAATGTCCAATGTCCAAGTCCA